GTGTAAGATGTAAGGGAATAAAAAAGGGGAATGTGAATAAGTTAAGATTAAAATATGAATGGGAATGTTTCGGTCCATCAAGTCGCATACATTCCTATTCAGCCTGGTCCACTACTTCACAAAGTATGCTTCGCCCTACCTACGGTCGCAAAAAAACCACTTAACAGCTCCGACCTTCTCGTCACTCCTGTTCGGTACGACTAGTTTTGGCCTTTCTTTTTATTCTATTACTTGAAAGGAACTATTGGTAGGTTAAGCTTCTCTAGAATGTGACAGTACTAATTTAGCACTGAATGGAGTTAACGAAGTAAGATATCCCGGTGGCGGAGTTGAATCCCCTCGATTTTCAGCCCGAGAGCAACGCTATTTGCCACTTTGGCATGCCCCCACCACCAAGATTTATGCTATTATCCATAGGATTTTGCAGATTTTATTGTTATTTTTGCAAAATATGGATCTTTTGTTGCAAAAAACTGGTGAAGATGATGCCCGCAAATATCTTTTGCCCCTAATTTGTAATGCTTTATCGAGTGATACTGTAAAAATTCAGGTTTGTTTTGCATTTTTTTTAGCTGGTAGCTAATGAAGCTGTCGGGATATAGTACTTGCACAATAGAACATGGCAGTCAGCGCTCTATGAAAGGCGTATATTCAACAAATATTACTTATTTTCCCATTCCATGCTATTTTTTATTTTTCATGTACTCCTTCCCCCTCCGCCGTCCTTGACCCACCCCTCCCCCTTCTTTCTTTTTAATTTCTTTTCATTATTTTCTCATATTATATTATCATATTTCTATTTCTACCCCATTATCCTATACTGAGGAGTAAAAACTAGGATCAGTGAATTAAGAGTTTAGCACATATTTCATAGTATCAGTTGTATTGGAGTCCTATTTAATAGTACTTATATCTGCGGTACTAGAAACAGCCGTTCGTGATGTGATTCTCCATCTGCGCGTAGCTGACAACTTTTCCAGTTGCTTCAGCTGATTCGTCGCAGTTTTTCTACTGCCGATCTTAATATTTCCATTTTCTAATGCCCGATAAATTTGCTCTCCGAATGGGGAGGTATAGGAAGACAATTTGCAGTCTTTCTTTACCTTACTTTCTCTTTAACTGCTAATAACTTTCAAATAGCATAGCCGCGCTTGATGTGTTGTACTATGTCATCGTGTCTGGTTGCTAGCATGAATAAATGCGATTTTTTTTGCTTTTTTTCGAGAAATAAATTGATGAATGCTGTTTTTTTGTAGGAATTATGTCTTTCGATAATCCCGAAAGTTGTTACGATGATTGAAAGGCAATTAATGAAAACGCTTGTGCTGCCAAAACTGCTACGCTTAATTATTGATGGTGGTGGCATGTTAGCGGTAAGTTTTTTTTTGCTAAAAAAGGATTTATTTCTCAACTTTTGGTTTTTTTTGCGTATTTTTATTTAGGATCAGAGAGAAAATATGAGCAAAAAAAACGATGAAAGGGTTCTAAAGAATTATTTAAGTAGGTGAGAAATGTTTCGGTCCATTAAATCGTATACATTTCTTACCTTTATCACATTTAGACCTATATTATATCCCATCTTTATCATATCTACATCTCAGTTTTTACAACGACGTTTCAAGAAGTAGAAGCAAGAAGGGAGGGAGATGGA